ATATTAATATCCTCTGGCAGGAGGGCACAGAGACAGATGATGAACATCTTATTTTTCAATCCAGAGCCCTAACCTAAATAAACAGTTTTATTTTATTAGCCCTCCGAGATATTTTCCCTCTCATGCTCCCAGTCTTTGTTGCTTGCTGCTGTGTTTGTAGATCCTCGGCGCTCCCTCCCTCTGCCCCCTCCCCCTCCCCGACGCCCACACTCTTCTCCTCCACTCTCATAACTCAGCTGTTACTTGGCAACATGGTCCCAGCTGGACCCAGCATCAGCCGTGTTGCCGTGGCAACACGAACGCACACATGCAGACACAGTAAACATGTTGGTTTTCTAGAAGCCTGTGCTGCATACACAATAAAACTCACATGTGTATTCAGCTCTGTCTCTGTGCTAAGACACCCATCACAGGATGAACGCCCAGATTCATCGTCCTGGGAACAACTGGCAATATAATCTCATGCACCTGCAGCATCTTTATCTCAGTTTCATGGTAAAAAAAAATAAATAATTAAATTGATTTAGAATTGTACACCATGTGATGGATTGCTGATTCTGCACTGTAATTCGTCACTGGAGAGTATCCATCTGGCTGCACTAATCCACCTCTGAATATTTTCTCTTTTCACCTCCTTTATTAATCACATCCTGCATCACCATAAATTTTAAGACAAGATCCACTTAAAGCATGTGTTTCTAGGAAACAAACCACTTATCCACACTCTGGGTAACACTGCATCTGTCGTTATAGCAACCTGATCTATCATCTGCAGGGGGCATCAATTGATTCATTATTGAGTGAGGCGCAGGCTCGTTCTCTGCTTCCCGTTCACGTCTACTTGCTCTGCCTTCAAGTAGCCATTACTGATGTCTAAGCCTGGCCACTCACTGGGCTAAAGAATAGAGAATTGTCAAGTCTCCCTTGTAGAATTATAATTCACATTCTACATTGTCCTCTGAAAAACAACATATTTGTTGACCAGCATTAAAGGCACAAGGCAGGTAGAAAATGCAATTTGTACAAGATATTGTCTTGCTTCTGGCACACAACACTGAAAATCAGATGAGACCACCCTTTTTTAGGGAGGATAAATACAGACAGCTAACCTAAAATCAGCCAAAAACCATCCCCGCATGTGGTATGAATTGGAAAAGAGGTGGAGGAATGAGCATCGGAGGGCGTGACAGTGTTTGTTTTGCAGACGAGATGAATTAGCAGCTTAAAAAAAAAAAAGAATGGATAAATGGAACACGACACACATAGCCTGCTATGGAAGAGGGCATTTATAGCTGCAGGGGAAGACACTCTTTGATGGTATCCCACTTACTCCAGTCTGTCCTCCACAGTGCGGTTACACACCTAAGTAGACCCCGGAGGCACTGGGATGGGTGGGGAGCACTGGTTTCTACCAAGGAAAGCTGAGTGAAAGAGAAACGGGAGACAAGTGTATGCTATTGGAAAATGTGTGCTAAATGGATGATGTCAGCTGCAGCACTTTGACATTTTAATGTCATCTCTCAGGGAATTACATCATTAGTCCTCTTTCCTTGCTCAATGCTGGGAAACCTAATGGATGTCAACAAGCGATCCCTTTGGAAGAATGGAGTGGGAAGGGAGGGGGGGATGGTGAGGGGGATGATTCACTGAGCTATAAGAAAGAGAGGGCTCACACTGAGCATCATCTGAACCAGAAGCCTACGGCGCATTTCTTCATAAAGATGAACTCAATCTGTGTTACCATCCATATCATACAAAACGCAATCATCTGAGAGCTCCACTTCCTTTGCTGCTGCTCACCCTAAATGATCCAATATGTTAACAACCTCACGGTGAAGTTGTCTGTTAATTATTTCATGCATTTATAATTCCAGGAGCACACTGAGTTGGCACCAAGCAACAACTGTGCTTCTTTCAATTTGAAAAACTGTCAGTCTTGGCTGCTGCTGCCCAGAGACCAGAAGCTGGATCCAATTATTGATTCATTAATCATCTACAAGTCCATTAAATTCAAATAAAGTCAAAGAATGCAGGCTGTCTGGGTGAAACTACATGGTAAAGAACTTATCTGTCTGATCGCATGTTACCCAGTGAAAAAAATGTATAGAAAGAAACTAAATCATGATATAAAAAAGTATTTTATGTGCTAATGAAAGTTGTACTTTTGTTTGAAAACAGACATAAATGGCTCATATTTTTAGGCAGTAATATCACATCACCACAGTAGCAAACAAACATGGAGAGAGATCAAGGCTTTAGTGTAAAACAGGTCAGAGGGGGGGATATTCATGTAGCTCAGCTGAATCACTACGCAAACCAGGGATCTGTTACTGTGGGAGCACATGGAACAGTGCTGAAATTAATCGACACTGGTGGAGGAGAGGACAAACATCTGACAGTGCTCAGGGCTGGCATGAAACAACGGTGAAAATAGCCCCATAAATTACATGTAAGGTGACAGGGCAGGGAGAAAATGATAACTGCTTCCCCGCCAACCACTGCTCTCATCTTATATCGATCGTGCATTTCACTGCATGGTGGATCAGCTCAGCCTGGAAGAGGATTTACTGGAATAAATGGATTGGGGGGGGGGCATCACATTTCATGATGGACAGAGAAAAAGTTTCAGCGAGTCAAAGCTTGACTCGCCGTTGTTATCTCACTGAGTTTGAGTGTGTAATATCCCTTCCCGGTTCACTAGAAAATCAGATTTGATGTGACAAAGCCCATAATAAGTCAGGAATTTGCTGTGATAAGTATTACTCACTTTATGTTGCAATGGGAAATGGGAGCATATCTGTTTCACTCTAATTCCTGCATTTTGTTCTCCCTCCCACACTCATAATCAGACAGATTTTTCCCCTTTATGGCAACTTTTAACTTTTATCCAGAATATTACAAACTCTGACTTTCACATATGAAGGGGCCCTCATTTCCATGCATCCTACAAACACAACCAGCTCTTTCTGTTTCTCATGTGAAGTTTATAGAAGTTACTGTACTGTCTCTCTCACACACACACACACACACACACACACCCACACACACACACACAGGGTGAAGCTGGTTACATAAACAGGGAAAAATGCAAAACAGACCTGCATGCACAGCCTGTCATAAAAATAGTGTGCATGAATGAAATAATATTGAAGGAGTGAGGCAGATAAGCTGCCCCCCTATGTGCTCGCCTCAGATTCAAATTTAGCTTTGCATAGGGAATTGATGAGACACAGAGCTCAAAGCCAAAGTCTTCAAAGACCACGGTTACACAAGATGCAAGGCATCAAACCCACTTTGTAGTTCTCGAGTGAACAAGTGAGTTGTAGCAGCCGAGCTGCAGAGGGTGACATGGCAACAGACAAGCCCAAGAAAAGATGTTAAAATATAAAAGTTACACCAAGGTTACATTGTGTGTAAAGGAGAGCAGAAGTGATATTATTTTTTACATGACTGTAGTTGTAGGAGTTGGTGTTACTCTATCATGCTTCAAGGTTGAGGTCCCCTTTATCGTTGCCATAAAGCACATAGCAGGTGTGGGAGTGAAGGTTTCGTCACACTCAAACACTGAGGGAGCTGGGGGGTGGGGTCTTAAAGGGATAGTTTGACATTTTAGAAGATACAATGATTTGCTTTCTTGATGATAGTTAGATAATAAGATTGATAACCCTCTCATCTGTAGATGAAATATGAAGCTACAGCGAGCAGCAGATAGTTTAGTTTGGCATAATTACTGGAAATAGCTGGTCTGGCTTTGGCTAGCAGCAACATTAGAGGTTGGGGAATTGGTTCTGGGTTCAGGTTAACATAACAGGAAACACGAATCAATGTGAAAACAGACTTAAAAACACAATTTGCCAATTGCCTTGCCTTTCCTGAGAAACAGTTTGAATTCCTACCAGCTCCAGGGCTGTTGTGAAACAGCATATCACATTACCACAATATAACGAATATTGCATTATTAATAGCATTCTGCAGCAGCAAACTATTAGTCTTGGTAAAACCGAGAGAGCAGAGAGGAAGTAGAGGATTGCTTCATTCTTGCGAAGGCCTCACATTTCCCAGAGCATGATAGTAGGTTTGTACAGTTACTCCCAACGTCCCTCCCTGCTCACCTCCTCCTGGCCCCCAGCTTCCTGTGCAGCAGCATGGCCGCTCAACCTTTCCCTTCCCTGCTCTGAGCTTGGTCAAGCTCTAGCTCTCTCCCAATCGCTCCAAATACATTATTTACACTCCACCCCTCCCTTCAGCTCAGCTCAAAAGAATCAGGGCAGAGGGAAATAACACCACTGTATAACCCCACCCCCACCCTCCAGCACTGTCACACACATTGCACACACAAGCGGAACCCTCCCCTCCACCAGCACCACCCCACCTGCTTGTTCTTTCTTCACTCTGCAGGATGAAAATACAGCACACAGGGCTGGGCTGCGACAATGGGAAACTCTGTGAGGCCCAGGCCCTCCCATTAATCCCCTCTGACATGCCTCCCGAGGGCAGGGATTTGCTACAAGTCAATGCAGGAGACCTACAGTATGCAAAACAAGCCTGTCTGACTCTCATGATTTTCAAAGCCACTGCACTGCCTGTGAGACAGGAAGGCAGATCAGAGAGGGGGAGGGGGAGAGGTGGAGGAGGGAATAACTGTGCACACAGCCTGCTTCGTTAACCCTTTCTTCACCCTCCTGTTCAGCATGTGTCACTTCCCACTTCTAGTTTCACTGCTAGCCTAGATTACACAGATAACAATGATGACATGACAAGATAAAAAGCGATGCTGATATACAGTGAGGAACAGAAGTATTTGAACACCCTGCGATTTTGCAAGTTCTCCCACTTAGACATCATGGAGGGGTCTGAAATTCACATTGCACAGCTCTGCTGCTGCTATCCTCTTTGTTATGCTTTGTGATTAATTCAGCTAAGAGACAGGTGTGCTACTAGACCAATATATGAAAACCACCCAATGTAAACAAAAATTCACAGGTCATGTGATGCATTACCTTCTCTCAGACAGGGTAGCACTATTGAATTTCAGCCTTATCAGTGATGAGAAGATAGGTGGAGGCTGGGTGGAGGGGCTGGATGACATTAGAGAGAAACAGTCTTGACGTTTGGGTACTAGAGCAGTGTAGCGGGGGGGGTGGGGCTGTCCATACCCTACAGCTCACACTCACAGGGAATGTAAACAACAGAGCTGAAGACAGGCATGGTTTCACATGGGGGAGGGAAGAAACCTGCAAGGAGGAAGGGCAGCAGAAGACGTTAAATTACCACGAGAGCAGCCGAGAAATGGAAAAACCGACGACAGTAAGGCATTGCCCCACAGAGGCAGAGAAATCCACCAGGATTTGTAGTCTGCTTTAGATTCACGTGATTGGTTCCACCACTCCCCCCCCCCTTTTTTTCCACTCATCCTCAGACCCTTTGAGATGGAAAAATGGGTCATCTGTGTGGAAGTTAATACTCTGAGCACGTACAGTGCTGCTTTATTTTTAGGTCGTGCCTTGGAAAATTTTTGTTCTTATTTCCCTCACTGGTGAATGACATGGAGAAGATCCTGGGTAATTAATATACTGTGTTGCTGCTGTGCACGGAAGTGGAAGTGCAGGAGAGAGCAGCAGTCTTTATTATAGCAAGTGGCACAGCCTGGACAGTTCACATTTGTCTCCCAGGCATGCCCTCTCCATGACAACGTACAGTAGGTTACAAACTCTGGCACCACAGCCGTGACATCAGCAACAGGTCACAGACAGCACGACCCCGAGCATCATTAGGTGATGGGAAAATGTGTTCTGAAACAGACACAGGAGGATTTGTGGCCTCTGTGGACACCTCCACCTAACAGCCAGTCATCTAGAAGCCACCGTGGAAGGTTACTCCTCAGAGGATTTGAGATCAAATGTAGACCGGTGCGGCTGAGAGTCTCCTGCTATGTGAAGCTGCCTTAGCAACCACATAAAACAGAGTTATTTCTGGCTGCCTTAAACTACCAAACAGCTGCTTCTACATACTGTAACCAGACATCACCACAGGCTATATCTATGTATGGAGCTCAGTACAGAGCAATAATCAAGCTTTGACATTCAAAAACTGGAATAACACAGCCAAGCTAATTACTGCTGTGGATAATTTGTTGACAAGATTTCCAGTAATGAGCTGCAGGATTCTGCTGATTATAATATTCTCAATATGACATTTGACATATGATCCATGCAAATAGATCACAGTGGCGGTGAGACTCCTTTGGTCCTAACTGGTTACAGCCTCTCAGCACCCAGATTTCTAATGATGCCTTCAATAACAACCTGTCTCCTGCACCTGTAATGAATGAACAGAGTGCATCTGTCATCATGGGCACATTAGAAAAAAGGATTACAAACTGTTAAAAATCACCTCTCCCACGCACATGGTCTCTGTGCTACAGGCATTGTTATTGCTGTCAACTGGAACTGTTCTGCTCTTAGCTCCCTCTCTCTCCATTCAGTTGCCCTTCAGTGGAAGCACCAAAGTCTACAAATACCGCCTGGAGCAACAGTGCCCCCTACTGCACAAGAGGAGCAAGTGTCTTTCCCTCTTTCTGCTCCTGCCTGCTTCATCAGAGAAGAGCTTGACAAATAATCTGTTCATACAGACTCAGAGCAGGAAGAATATTGGATTAAAGGAAGAGCAAATACCTCATTTATTACATTACTAGTCTGCTGAGCATTGATGACACATAGCAGGCTTTTCCTTATATAAAAAGGAAAAATCTGCGGTGTCATACAGAAATCAAACATCGTTGTGGTATTAAGCCTGGTTTACCTGGTTTACTTTACGGAATGACAGCGTGCATCCTCTGTAACCCCTCAACTCTGCAGGGGACAGAGTACAGAGGCCAGTAACTGAGTGTTTATTTACAGGAGGCCATAGGGGTCTGAACCTGTTCTGACCCCCAAGGTCCAAGCAGATAACAGCCCCAGCTTGGCCTCCCAGTCTGATGTTTTTCTCCTCCGCCTGCCCAAAAAAATAGATTAACACACACACACACACACACACACTAGGAGCAGATAACTCTGCAGGCCTCTTGACAGCCTTCTCCTTTTCCACTAAAGAGCAAACTGAACGGTGTGTTGAAGACCTCAATGTGAGCGCACGAGTTCATGGAAAATGGAGCACTGTCTACCACTTAGTCTTCACTTGACGTTTCTGGGCCGCTGTTCAATTTTCATTCCTAATGTAGAACAGCAAATTTTCCCTGCTCTCGTTTCCTGGCAAACTCAAGGCCCAGGCTGCTCTGGCCAGAGCCCTTAGAAAAACAGCTGCAGATGAGGATAAAAATAATTACAGCTCAACCAGTCTTCCAAGAGACACACTTCCAACCAGACCCACTCCCCTCCCCTCCCCTACAAGCTGCTCCACTTTCACTCTCTGCACACACACACACACAATCAAGTCATTCACAATAAACACACTGTGGTTCAGGGTATTCACACAAGCTCATATGCTTCGCCATGCTGGTTGGAAACAAGTACTGTACTCAGAAGACTGTAAGTGAACCCTGCTCTGGCAGTGGCTGTATTTTCATTAACATTTTCTGCTACAAAACATTTTCTGTGGTGTTATTTTTAAATTATATTCTGAGGAATATTTATTCTTGATTTATGCAGATAACACATTCCATTCAGCAAAATGACTCTCCAGCTCTCCATGCAGATAAAAACTGCCCACACTACATATTTCATAATTGTAGGTGTTTAAAAATTTCCTGTGCATTGCTACTGCCATCTACTGGCAAACTGACACTCTGAAACTCAGCGTGCTCCTGTAGGATATTACACTCAGAAGTGTGCAAATATAAAAGACTGGAAAATAAAAATGACATTTAGCTGACACTGAAAAAACATGACAGATCAAAAAGTGATCTGTTTAGACACTCGTACACATTTCACATGCGCAGCAATATGTAAAAAAAAAAAAATCCTCTCTTTCACTGAAAAGTACCCTTAACAAAAGGTCTTAAACATCAGGGTGCTAGGACAGAGTGAGATTTTCATCTCCTTTATTTAAACAGGAAGTTCCACTGAGATCAGGATCTCGTTTTCAAGGGAGACCTGTGTACATGTACAACATATACAGTTTAAAATATGACAGACAAAACTCAAACACAGATTACAAGTCTTGCATTAAGAAATGCAATTACATGTAGAACTGCAAATACTTAAGCACAGTCTTAAAGTTGAGATGAGGGTTTGGCAAAGGCACATTTCATAGACAGGGACAATTCAAAGTGCTTTGCACAGGTCAAGAAAAACATTAATAGCATCAAAATAATAAGATAAAACATTGTTAAACTCCGATAAAACAAAATGAAAAAAAAACAAAACTAAATGGACAAAGTAAAAGGTCTGAAACATGATTATCTAGCAGCTACAGTGCTGAAAGTACAGCGCAGAAACCAGTCAAACAAAGGCACAGGAAAACAGTTGCTAGTTGCGATTTGAAAGTGGCAGAGCTGGGGCACATTTAGGGTCATCAGGAAGTTAGTTTCATCTGTGTGCATTACAGTAGCTAAAAGCAGCTTTACCCCGTTTGGTTCTGACCCGAGGTTCTCCTGGTTCTCGTTAAAACTCTGGCAGCAGCATCTGAATGAGCTGAGGCTGTCTAACAGTCTTTATGAGAAGATGACAGTCTCAAGGTTTTCTGCTGCTCACTCCACCTGTGGGGTGTCAAGTGCCTGAAGCCCATCCTTCCAAGTTCGGTTCGAATATGTGGTACAGCTAATGTTAAAATGTCCTGTTATCTCAGACTGTAATTACTGTTTATATGAGACCAGAGGTAGTTTTGCAATAGAGTCTTATAGATAAAATACACACAGTGCAGCTCTCTTCTATCAGATAAGGAGGACCATCACATCTTTGGAATTTATCTCCTGTAATGAAGCGCAATGCGCTGTTAAATACAGTGTCAAGAGGTTTTAAAGTTAAAGAGGCATGTATGTACACAGCAGCACCGTAATCAAGAACAGACATAGTAGCAAACTGGACAACCTTTTGGCTAGTACAAGAAAAACAGGATTTGCTTCTGTATACAAAGCCAATTTTGACGTTCAGTTTATGTGACAGGTACTCCACGTCTGTATTAAAAGTAAGTCCAGAATTTAGCCAGATTCCTCAATTTTTGTAACCCTCAACAATTTCAATTTCTGTACCTTGAAGAGTATACGCAAGGACAGCTTACTGCGTCAATGTTTAAGTGACCTTGAGAATAACATACATTTTGTTTTGTCAGAATTTAAAACACGATTATGTTTAAAATGTAGTGACTGGAATGTATTCAAGGCAAGCTGCAGATTTGCATTTGCCAAGTCTGCAGAGACAAATGTGTGATTAAAAATGTGGGTTAAAGGCGCCATAATCAAGTAGGCACTGAGGGACAAGAGGAAGGGATCTAAATGATCATCAGCTTTAGATGTCTGTACATTTGAACTGACAATCTTATTATACACCTCTTGTTGGCTTAGTTTTCAGATAGAACCTATTGTCTAAGGGATGAATATATAAGGAACCTGACAGTGAGGTAGAAGTGTCTGCATTTAAGGCACTGATAGCCTGCTGATTGTCAAACACATGGCTGGATGAAATGATTAAAACCTTCTCACATCTTTGATTTATTCATCATTAAAGTAGATTCTTGCAGGGAGAGAGGATTACTTTTCAATGACTTAATACATTTCCAAAGGCAGTCGCAAGGGAAAACAAGCGGTAATCGGATTTTGCTTTTCTGTCTTAAATTTTGCCAGCCAACCTGATGATTAGTTCATTTAGCTGCCTTCCACACATCATCTCTAGCAATGGGGGCACTCGATATATGTTGTGAGAACCACAGACTTGAAAGATGTTTTACTCTGAAGTATTTGTAAGGAGCATGCTTATCAACCGAGTTGTTAAATAAAAATTTGTAAATGCGTTAAATCATTAAAAAAAAAAAAAAAAAAACAACTCTGCAAGTGCCCCTTATACAGGCAATTGGGCAATGGCCACCGATATACTGAGCAAAGTCTACACTTCCGGGATATTTAAATGGTTTTCAGTTAAAATAAGGTTGATCAACATTGATTTTGAAGGAGTGGTCTTATTTGGCCTTGCAGGGCTAGAAATCAACCTACATATTAAATTCTAAACACAGCTCTTGTAATTTGGCAGAATTTTTAGATAGATCTAAACTCAAGTCACCCAATATAGCAAGTTTGAAAGTGGCATATGATGACATTAATTTGGCTTCTTCCTCTAAGAACTCACTATTTGCACGTTAGGCAGTATACAGTATACTTATAACTGTAAAGTGGTCATTCCCCCCCAGGGCAGAGATCTACAATAATATACTCAACACCTCAAGGCACTGCAAAAGCAGTAACTTGATATGCATTTAGATTGTCTTTAACATAGATCAATACTCTACCTCCATTAGATTTTCAATCAAGAGAAAAATAGTCATGTGATCTCAAAGACAGCCTTGTCAAAAAAATTAAGCTCACAATCCACATACAACTACAGTGACACTAAACAGTGCAGATATCTAGACAGTGTCTGAAATCCCTTTATAAAATAGTGAAAGCAGATTTTCATCTCACACATTTATGCTCGTTCATTTGACCTCATCTTCTTTTAAACGCAGAGATCTGATGATATGCTGAAAAACAGAGATAACTCTTTCAGAGGTTGTGCCAGAAAGTGTATGGCAATTATTGCATAGTAGTTACAATTGTGCATATGTGAAGCTTTTCATTAACACATTTGGAATATTAGCATTTCTGTCTTAGAGGTGAAATAACCAAGAGCTACTGACAACAGGCTCTCAGCTTTGGATGATTCTAAGATTGATCTTGCATCCTTTTTTGTCCCAGAGACCACAAATGTCAACTGGGGGGTTTAGAAAGGATGCTCAGCCACCAAACCATCCCTTGTGACATCCTTCTCTCCCTGGCTGATTTCCTCCAAAAGGAATTTCTGAACAGCTTCAGTGTCCTTAAAATCAGGCAGCTTCAAAGAAATGCAACTTTAGGCTCCAGCAAGAAGTAAAAATGAAAACGATGGCTTGCCATTTGTCCTACCTTTGCCAGCCCAGCCTTCTCGCTAGAAATCTTTTGCTTTCTACCTGTGAGGAAATGTGGTTTTAGACCGTACATGTGCGTTTAGCTTAATGTTGTACCGTTACTAGAAACATGTTATAAGTTAAATATTAGCTCCAGCATGTTTCATCCAGGAGGTAACAACTTATAATGCGACATAGGTGATGTAAATTCATTTAGAGACTACACGTTAATCCTCTCTAAGCAACAAAAAAGAGAATATATTTACACATGTGGGAACATGCGTTCGCCGCATGCTCCCGCTCCTGTAACGTTAAGTGCCTGCTAAGCTAACTAGAAGAGTTAGCTAACTTCCTCTACTCCATTCCGCTCCAATACTTACGGGCACATAGCTTGTCCTTGAAGCGAGGGTTATTCCGTCGCTTTCTGTCAAAATAAATATAGTATGCAATGAAAAGGCTCCACACACACCGACAAAAATTGCGCTCATCGTTTCTGAAACCTTAGTACAGACCTATACAGTGAGTGTATGCCTATGCACGGTTCAGAGGTACAGCAGAGGAGACTAACCGGCTAGCAGCTAGCATGCTGCTGAGGACGTACGTATTTAAATCATGGCGCAAGACGTAAAGTCGATGTGACGTATCACTGTCGAAAAATCCTAAAACAATCTTTTTCACGGGAAAATACTGCGAAATACGCCTTGTAAAATGTACTAAAGCTCGAATGTATTACCAAAACAATACACTTCAACTATCAAAGGTAAGATAGAAAAGTAGTTATAAGCACAATACTTTCATGTTTTAGTAGCAATGTTATGTTTGGTCTTCTAAATGTAGTGGAGTCAAAAGTAAAATATTTTTCTATTGTATTGTAAAAGTAAAAATTATACATCTTGCTCTGAAATTGAGTAAAAGTACAATAAATTAGAAATATTCAAGCAAGATAGAAATGCTTCAAAATTTATACTTAACCACAGTGCTACACAAGTTATTTCCCACTAATGGCAGTCTACACAGAGTACTTCACAAACTATGGCATTTATTTCAAACAGAGGCTTCTGCTTTGCTTACATTTTTACAATAAATTACACAATGACCATCATCAGATGAGCCTAATAAATACTATTGAGCATTTTCAATAAGCTCCATTACTTTCTCTTAATCTATGATCAAGACCACATACAGGTTCATACAGCTTTAGCTTCAGGCCAAGTACTGGTCAAAAAGTTCAGCCGCATCCAAAACCACCATTCTCCTCTTACAAGCACAAGCTACAGAAAAACTAAACAGAATAAAAACTAAAGCAAAACATAACATTTAAAAAAGTGGGAGAAAGAAAAAAATAACAGTTGAAACGGATGAAAGAAGCAGAACAGAACACAAACTCATATTTGCTCCTACAAGAGAGCAAGGACAAAAGGAGAGAACAAACATGCTGTAACCCTCAATATTTACACTCAAACTACAGTTAAAACTGTAAAACTGTCTGTACAGAAAAGTACATGTTATTAACAGTGCAAGATATTAAATAGCTTGACTCAAAACACTTCTCAATATACAAATGTATAACAAAAGCATACAATTACATACAAGTGCCAAACAAAACATAACTTCATGTTATCATACAGCAGGGGTCTATACAAAGGAAACACTGGAGATGTCTTCAGAAATGTATACACATACACCACTTTATGATATAAATGCACATTTACAATATCTTTACCTTTAATCTGGTCAGAGTACAGGAAACAGAAATGGACATTTTTGGTAGGGATGAGTAAGGAAGCTGGCATGTCAATATTGATCATGAGTAAACATATAAAGAGATGGTTTGCTTTTATTTAATGAAGCAGAAATATACTTAAACTTCATATTGTTTGAAACACTGCAAATGTGGCATTCAGCTTCATTCCTGTGTACACTGTTGTAAATACCTCTTATGGCTAAATTAACTTAATCCAGTTGTAGATGATGAGACTGGGTAATAAAACAAAACAGATGGGCACTGATGAACTGAAGTAATGTGAATGTTGCACTAACCACCTCCATCATTGCACGTCATTTTATACTGCCAAACTTAACAGTTACACCCACGCTGAATACGTTTTCAGTAGTAGATTACAGGTGATCCAGTATAGGAGTTCTGCTTTTACAAATATACTTCTTAAATATTAGTTGTATGCTGATAAAAACCTTTACTTGTCAGACTCAGCCCTTCACTGCCTGCTCACTTATACAGCATTCTTCAGTCTTTAGGAAGGGACACATTATTCCAGCTAACCCTCGGACTTGAGAAGAGGATCAGGAAAAGAAAGTGCTGTCCTTTCTCAAAGTGCCCCCATGAAAAAGAACAAAAAGGCACTACAGTATCATTCCATATTTATCCACTGAGGCTGTCAGTGGACCTGTGATGGTCTGAAACTCTATCCATCACCACCTGTATGACTCACTGCAAAACTGTACAGGACCACGAGCCTGTATGCGAGAAGAGCCCCATCAACCACTTGAGGTTTAGCCACACGAAGGCCTTTTTAATGAAGGCAGACAGAGGAAACGTGGCAGTTATATTTCATATGCCCGTTGGTGCCAATGTAGCAGTGCTCCTCTGAATTCCCCAAAATAATAACATGGCACAGGCTGTACCATGCTGAGCTATGAGGACAGAGCACAGAGGGGTAGGGGTCTTCACTGGACATTATCCCTTACCAATACAACATTATCAAACAATGGAAACAGTTATTGCTGCAAAAACAATTCTTATAAATATTCAATTAAGGAGAGCACAAAAAACAAATTTGTTTTTTTTTTTTTTTAAACAAATTTCACCCCCTACATAATCTTCATAAAAGTGCACTTAAGTGCCATTAGCTTGCCAAGGAAACAGTTGTCAATAGAAAATAGGTCTTGCTTTTTGTCTCTGGTCTGTTTTTTTTGTGCCCCAGTAGTTACAGTATGTAGGTTGACTTGTCTGTCCTATTGGAAGGGAATGGGGGCAGTGACCCCAGGGTGCTGGTTAAGTGCTTAGTGCGGTGGCTCCTCGCTGGTGCGTCCTGTCACCTGCACTCCACTGATACTCCAGAGTTCTGCGAAGAGGAGGAAGAGGTTGACACCGGTGGGTCAGCCAGTGTCAGCATGACTGCCGCCGTCAGTGAGCTGGAGGACGGCGAGGAGGATGATGATAAAGAGGAAGCGGCCACAGCACCTGCAGAACAGAAACAACACATGGTTAGTTCTGAGGGGAGGCAGGTGACACAGCTGGTGCAACTTAGTCCTGGTTAATCAGTAATGGTGAGATGACAGAGCTGACTCACTTTCCCGTTCCTTCTTCTTCATGCGTTTTCGTCGTCTGTCAATAGACGCTACCTCAGACTTGAGGGAGAGGTAATGGTTCCTGATGTCCTGGAGCTTCTCCTGAAGAAACGAAATCCTTTCCAGGCTGCTCATCTTTTCCAGGTCAGCTAAGTGAAATGCAAATTATGCTTTTTAGGATTTTATTGTTGAATAAATCTCAGCTTTACTCAATAGAATGAAAGGTTGTTTGGAGTAATTCAAACCACACACACAAAAAAAACTACGCAAGAAAAAGTTGATAAATGTAATAGAATTTCACCTTTTCATATTTTTAGCCATAAGAAAATCCAAATTAGTTAGAATAATAAATGAGTTCAAAGTGCGACTCTTACACATCTGGAAGCTCCACTTGTATACACGAGGCGATCTTCCGTGGCTATCTTGGTAGTGGGAGTGGTCAGAGTCACCCTGTTTGTGGTACTTATGGCTCGAAGGGGGAGATCGTCCGTGACACTTGGGTGAAGTGGCTGCCTTCATGTCTGATGTGTTGTTCTTAGAGGCAGTTGATTTGGCAGCGCCCTCAACAACAGACTGGTCCTCGCTGTCACTGCTGTTGGCTGGAGGACAGAAGACAGCGCAGATGAAAACATGGACAGTGATCAGGGTAAATTTCACATCCTTTCCCACCTGCAATACCATGTCATAAATATTGAATACAAATTCTAAAGCTGATGAAAGTCTTGATGGCATTTGAAACGGCAAGGCTAGCAGAGTGTCAGCAATTCTGTTTACAGCTCTCCTTACCTGTTTTCCTATTCTTTTTGGGAGGCACGCCGAGGCTCTTGCGGTTTGGCTTGTGTTTCTTTGAGGCTCCGCCAGTCTGTGATTCTTTCTGCCGCTTCTGACTCACAGATGCTACAAACACAAATGCAAGAAAATGGTGATGAACAGACAAACTGTGAAATGAGTTGTCAGCATGTATTTCTTTAGTAGTCGATCCTGATGAAAAATAATGAATCCCATCATTTGGAAATAAGCTTGATATGGCAGAATTATTATTATTTGTACCTTTAGACTTCTGCTCGCTCTCCTGTTGGCTGCTACTGCTCAGCTCTAGGCTGCAGCTGCTGCTGCTGTTGCAGGAGAGGCTGACGTCAAAAACCTTTGAGGGGGAACTCGCCCCTTCATCCTGAGGGAGGTCTTGCTCTCCACCCAGACTCTCCACTTCCACAGTGCTGCTGTCCGCCTCACTGCGCCCGCCTGCCACTTCTTCCTGTATAGGTCCTGGAGGAAGAGCATCAGAAACCGGCTCTGAAGGCAAGGCTGCGGGTGCAGACAGTTGTGGGGAGATAGGCTGTGCCTGACTAGAGTCTTCTACGGCGCTGCCTCCTCCTGATGGGGACTCTGGCGTTGTTGGTGGTGTGTTAAGTACAGAGTTACTGCCACTGCTTGGAAACTCCTGTAGTTTGTCATTCTCCATCTGCTCCTCTGAGGCTTCCTCCTCAGGGCCAGCATCCTGTTCAGCACTCGCCTCGTCCAGACATGAGGATACGGGTGGGGGAGGAGAATTGGCAGCCTCTGTGTCAGAGTCAGAGAACAGCTCTTTGAGTGTCTTCTTCGGCCACTGGGCCTGGATGCTGGACCACACATCCTTTTGTCCTTTAGATCGAACCGCAGGCCTTTCCTCTGCATTCCCAGACACTTTGGGCCTCTTTTCAAGAATCTCCCAGAAACCAGCTTGTCTGCCAGTTTTGGTCTTCTCCTTCATCCCACTGTATTTCTTGGAAGGAGAACCTTTGGTTTTTGGGCGGCTTCGCTCACATTCCTCAACCTGGGACTCAGCCAGCGCTGCGCCCTCATCCTCTGAACTGCTGCTTGTCGAGGCCCCCCTCTCCTCCCCGGGGCTGGTGGCTCTCTCCTCCAGCTTCCTGGGAGAGCCTCCAGGTAACCAGTCAGCATTTCTGGTGTTCCTGGTCTTAACTTTGGATTGGCCCTTTGGGGTCCTCTCTGTGGCACTGTCAGATTTCCTCTTTCTGGTGTTCGCCTCTAACTCTGGTTGGTTTCTACGCTTCCCAACATCTGCACTCTCTGCGCAAACTAATTCCTGGTTCTTTCCTGAGACTGGAGAAGGTTTGGGCCCCTCAGGGGGGGTCCAACTCTCCCAGTGCTCTGATGTTTGTGGCGGCTCTAGTGGGGCCTTTCTGAGGCCGCCTCTGCAACCTGGGCGATCCTCCTCATTATGCTCTCCCTCCTCATCCTCATGCTCACTTTCATCCGTGGACATCTCAGAGGCTGAGGCAGACCGGACAAAACATCTGTTAGTTTCAGGATATCAGCAGGCATAAATAAACCACTTCAGAGTGAAACAGTCCTAATGTATTGTAAGTGTGCAGGAGGACTACAGACTAATGAGTGTTGCTACCTTGCAGGCCATTGAGGATAGATGTAATTTCTATTGACTTGACTGGAGATTGCTGAGTCCCTTTGTCTTCACACTCGTCCATCTTGGAAAAGACATCCTGACTCAGGCCACATTTAGAGCGTGGGACACGGTTAGTGTTGGACGAAGGGCCCAGGACTTCTCTGTCATTGAGCCTCTCCAACCTGTCTCGCTCCCTCTCAGCTTTGTTCTGTCAGAAATGAGCAAAGTCAGTGATTCATTACACCAAAACCAGGTTTAAGTTAAAAAGTTGCAACTCCTCAAACTCGTACCTTTATTTTTCTGCGGTGCTTTATTTTTGGTACGTTCTTATTGGCAGGGCGCACAATCTTGTCTGCTTTGATCCATTCATCATATCTAAAAATCAAGCACAAAGACAAGAAACAATTGCGTCATTGGGATCTTTGAGCAGATCTCTCACACCACCCATCACACAGACACCTCTACTGTCTGACCCAAACATGCTGCTGTGACACAATAAGCCTCAACAGCAAAGGAAGAAGTCCAATGGTATTATGTGGATAAAGACAAACCTTTACGATGAAGAAAGAAACAATAGTGACACCGACCACCACACAAATCATATTCAACAGAGTTCCAACAATACCAAGGGTGCTACTTGGGTCATATGAGGAAAATGAAAAGTTTCACAACATCACACACGACAGACACAATGCAGAGAACATCCCAATGTCTTTTATAGAGTGCTAGAGGACCACACAACAACATTGAGACAATGAAATGCTGATTGCACTAGTTAACCTCTGTGTCATGGTACCCTAACACTCTACTCAACACTGCATTAACCCTGACCCACTGGGGAGGGGGGAGAGGGTTGAGAGGTAGAGGTGAGTGTAGCAGCACTCTGGTTGGCCTTTCATAGATCCAAAGAGTAATTCACATTAAAATATTAGTACGATAGGATCCAAAAATTGTTCAACCAAAACCTCTGGTTGGCAATTTGCTCTATGGAAGTGATTAAAATTCAGCCTGTCTGTGGATTTAGTTCAGAGACAGACAGCTGGAGGACAGACAGACAGGGGATTCCATCAAAACTGAGAGAGGGAAGCTGAGGAGTGATCCACATCAACCCAATACTCAATTCTGTTTTTGCCACTAGATGGCCCAGTGTTGTCCATAATCAGAGTACTGACCATGGGACTGGATCAGATGAACACAATTGTGAGGAAGGGATGCAACTGTTATTGCTGCGGGGACACCCATGTAGCCGGTGATCCCGTGAGCTAAACTGAAGGTTAAGAAATGTCTTTTTTTTTTCTTCTTTTTCTTAAGGTGAATATAAATGTTAAGTAATTTCTCCCCAGGTCCTGTCTTACCTGACGTTCCAGCCACAGTAGTGCACCAGGTAGAGCACCTCTCCCCCCTCCACGTCTGCCTCTTTGACAGTGGCCTCGTACGTCTTCAGATTGCGGCCTCGCCCATACCTCACCTGCACCTTCATCCCCGGGGGGTAACACTCAAACTCCTCCCCTTCCTCCCCCTCCTGACTGCTGTCATCCCTGCAAAAAAAACAGTTCAGCACTTCCTGGCCCTAGGCTGCCCCATTGAACACCATAAAAGCCCACTCATAGCCACCCACCTAAGAAGCCTGTTTTCTAATTAGCTTGCTTCACCCTTGCCTGCCCTGTGCCATTACAACTCTAGTTCCTTATCCATAAACAAACATTAACTTCCCAGTGTAACCTACAGCAAACTACAGATTAACAACTGAATCATTTACAGTAATCCAATCAGAGAACAGTACATCGAGTGTTTCAGCAAATAAAAAAATCATTCTTTCATGGCAAAATTGAATTGTCCTGCATGGCAAATAGCACCACTGTTACACTATCTAACCCTATATCCACAAAACATACAGGACTTGAGATTCCCACTCACACATACACACTGTAAGAAACAAAGCAGCCACAAGGGGGAGCTAGTGGGAAACAGCCAGGAGGTGTGAAGCTGCAGGGTATACAGGCGGTGCAAGAGTGCCAGTAAGTGGTTTAAGCACAGGGGCCGCAGGGGCAGATTAGCACAGTGAGGCACAACTTAGCAGGCAGCACAGTAACTTAAAGCGAGACTAGAGCATTGAGAGGATGCACAACTGCAAGATCCACTTTGGTCTGCTGTCACAAACAACAGCTACAATACAATCCCTCTCACACCTAACTGCTCTGAGCATGAGCTTTCTGTTGACCGCTCATTTTCAACAAGCCATAATGACAACAAGTTGCTTATCTGTATAGAAGTCCAAGTGAGACAGCTGAAGAAACTCGTACAACCCAAGACTGGACCGGACCGGACCACTAGGCTTAACATGCCAAAAGATTCACTGACCTTTTAAATAGACCCCTGAGTGAAAAATATGATCACAAAACACATGGAAGCAAAGATAAAATATCAAACTCTGAGAGAGAACCAATTTTTAGAGCTGCAACAATCAATCAGAAACAAAAACAAAATAATATGCTACTATTTTAAATAAAAACATTTGTTGGTTCCATGTTATCATGTGTGACAATATCCTGTTTTCTTGGTCTTAAATTGATCATAAATCTAATATTATGATGACCTTGCCAGCTGGTTGGACAAAACAACATTTATGATGTCACCTTTGAGGCATGGAGCTTGGAGGCCAAACAGTTAATCAAAATGTAACCAGCAGATTAGTCAAAAATGAAAATAATCATTAGCTTCAGCTCTAAACAAATTCCTCAAAACCAATGCAATGAAATTTTAATAATTTCACATTGTTATGCACTGAAAAGCCAGAAAGAAAGGCTGGAGAGTCAGTGGGCTGCACACTTCAATAGAGCGAGAGTTGAATACGCTTCATCAGGAAAAAAAAAGTAAATAGCACTCAGGCAGTAAATTAACAGTGTAGAACAGGAGCTTCCCTCCATATGATGAATAACCAACATTAACATGAATTAAAATAAGCTTCCCATTTAAGCTCAGTGGAAACTAGGTCTCATTGGCTACACACAGTCTCTGCTACAGAAGACATCAAACAGGTCTGCTACCATCAGGACAGCTCAGATCAGTTCAGCCTGCGGGTTGTCCGTAGACCCTTGCATGACCACGTCATCTGTGATGACCACTGATCCTGACAAAGCCAAAGAATCAGGGAACCTTCCTCATTGTCAGAAAGTAATCAGCATAATCATGCTGAAGAGCGCCTGCTGCCATGGGTGGAAAAAACTACAGAGAGAGAGGGACGATAGGAGCAACCATGAATAAGTCAGGCAATTTCCCAATCACAAAACCTGCAGTAAACCAGGTATCTTAACTTTTTGCTACAGTTTTCTAGTCTGCCTTTCATTTGCCCAAACAACCTTAACACAAATGTCAAACTGGAGGGTGAACAACACAGGTCTAAACCAAATAGAGAACCTTGATCTTGATGCAATGGACAAGAAACAACAGAGGAAAGGGCAACTAACTGAGAGCAAACAATTCAACTATCCAGACCTAGCATTTATCAACACTGAAATTTGCTTTGTCCTTTAAGGGTTACTGCCTCTGAAGCGCTACCTCGTGACTAGTGTGCTAATGCATCAGTGACAACACTCACAGACATGGAACATTTAATAAAGCTAAACATCAAAAAGGCAAAAAAAGAGAGAGAGAGAAATTACAGGAAGAGGGGATGGAGAGATAGAGATAAGAATTTAGAAGAGACCAGAAATCAAGAAGAACACAGCCATGGTGTGTGCACTGGGTGTGAGGGAGAGCACAGCATGACATGCCAGGTGAAAGGCAGCAGTCAGGCTCTAGTGCTCTAAGACGTCTCTGCCAGCTGATGCCAACTAAGCCATAAGAAATAATATAGCATAGAAGGCCATGGGCAAGAGCTTAGTAGAGGAGAGAGAATCGAGCTTTCCTTTCTGGTTAGTGGTGGATTGTGGGTATACTGGGTATTAGTGTCATTAAGGTCAGAAGGGTCACTACTCCTCAGTGCGAATGGTATTTCAGGTTTTTACTGCCACCAAGGAAAGTGAATACCTGAGGTCCTTTTGTCTGGAGAAACTTTTAAAATTCTTAAATATTGAAGGTCAGGTGGAATATTATCACAGCTTCATCATGCAGGAGCGCTGCACGGAGCTTATGTTTGCGCCATTTTTGTTTGTTTTTACCACCCTGGTGGAGGGACCATTCCTTTGGATCACCTACCCAGAGTTGTCCTTGCTCTCCTGCTCCTCTTCATGCTCCTGCTTCATGTTCTCTGCCCCAAGGTGAGCCATTGATGAGCCCTCATCTGCATCTCCCTTGAGCGGGCCATCTTCATCATCTATGTCGTCGTTTCCGCTCTCCTTTCCCTCAGTTTTAGATGGGTCGGACTCCATTTTGGCAGGTGTTTCCTCCTATAGCAGAGGGATGCTTTTAATATAAACAAATACATGGGTGGTCTGCAGTAATTAATCTAAACACAAAGGAAAAAGGACAGAATTTAATCAAACAGTATTTAGGAGAAAGCACCTTGCAGACTACAGACTCTGCACTGCAGGGGTCTCCATCCACCTGGGCTTTCTGCTCCTCTGAGCTGGAGGATGTGGGAGCTGTCCCTCCTGCCTCCTCCTCAGACTTCACCTCCTCCTTGGGACCCTGCTTCAAAGGGAGGTCCATCCTGAAGGTGATGGCAGTGGAGGTGCAGTATTCCTCAAATCCATACAAGTACCTGCATGATAACACATTATTTGTCAACATAACCCATGTCTGCACTGCTAAATGTTACACTTGCAGGCATAATCCTGAAGAGCTTACTAAAAAGAGGAGTCAGAAATGTATAAAACGGACAAGTAAAAAGGGGAACAAACTGCATGTCAGTCTTGGTGAAAAACTACAGAAACAAAAGCTGCATCTGCCAAACAGAGTTAAAAGCTTTGAGGAGCTGTGGAGGCAGCGCCTGTACGTACTTGCGGTAAGCACATTTGACATTGTAGCCAGCGGCTGAGTTGAGCACAGGGATTCCTAGATCCTGATAGACTTGCTTCCAAACGGAGCCACTTTCAATCTGTTCAAACATGGACACAGAAGAAGACAGTTCTACAGCCAGTCAATACTGACCAAAGTCAAACTACACAAGAAGGAATCCCTGTCAAAGTGGTACTCACACTGTCAAAGCCTCCCAGTTTGTGCACCAGCCTGTAGAGCTTGAACAGGTTCAGATTCCTGTAGCCCAGAACAGGCCGCTTGTTGATGGGAGTTCCTAATGAGGAGCAACAAAGAACATGCCAAAAATACACTTATGAGTGGTTTAACTCTGATATTACTGGATGCTTAAACCCCATGCAGCCACTTGTAAGTAGCACATTACTGTTCTAGCTGAAAGAGGTTTAAATACTTTTGCACTGCATAATCAGCAGCACATCATATGTTAGATCTGATCCTATGGTTTTGTAAAAATGTTAATTTGAAAAGTCACTAGTAACTAAAACTATCAAATGTAATGAAGTAAAAAGTACAATGTTTCCCACTGAACTGTAGTGGAGTAGACATTCAAAGTACCATGAAAAGGAAACACTACAGTAAATTATCTCAAATTTGTACAGTACATGTACTTAGTTACATTCTATCATTGGTTTTCAATACATTTTAATCACCAAGGTAGGTAAAAAAAATAGAGATAATTGTAAAAAAAAAAGTTATGAAGCTATACAAGAACCATATTAGACTAGAGGTGCAGCCTTAAAGACTGTAGAGCCCACTGAGGTATGGGAATTGGAAGCAGACAGACAGAACAGACATAAGAACAGAAGAGTATAAGAGGGAGACAACAAAAAATTGTGTTATTTGTCTCATTTTATTTTAACACTCCCTTGACCTAATCTGCCTAAGTGAGACAAACATGTCACAACTGGTAGATTTAAAGCCACACTGAACCGTAAACATAAAAAGCTAAAACCTTACTGCATTTAAAATCAATGTTTTTTTTCTGAAGAAACCATGTGAATCTCCACCTGCAGTCTGGGCTCACCTCTGTCTTCCATGAACTTGTACAGCTGTTGTAGAAAGTTCTCTCTCTCCTCTGGGAACGGCTCCACTTCCTCCTGCAGACAGTGAACAAGACAGATTCAAGATCATGTTAAGTTCGAGGTGGTAGGGCTCAGATCATGTGAAGAGTTCTGCCTCTACCTCCTCCTCTTCACCACTGGCATCTTCCTCCTGCTCTTCCTCTTCATCATCATTATCCTCCTCACTGCTAGAACTTTCCTCTTTCACTTCTGTCTTCCAGGTGCTGGGCACGACCAGCTGCTGCTGGAACGCCAAGGCAGCGTCCAGCGCTGTCGAACACATGCAGAGAGCCAGAAAGATTACACACTGACCACACTCAGCTGTCGTTGCTGTCATCTAGCAAACCGACCTGGAAAAACAAAAGCTAAATCATTTTGCAGACAGAACATTTTTTCAGGTTAAATAGATAATACACAGATAAGACACGAATGGGTGTCTCAATCAGATTGCTCTGCATCTTGTTCATGAAATATAAATGTCATAATTCAAGTGAAAAGAAGATCATGAATCAACAGAACCTACATTTAAGGATTTTCACCTAATATCATCTGCCACTGGGTGTTTGTGGGGTAAGGGGATGCTGGGTGTGCATGTGTGTGTGTGCATATTTGCATGGGTGATCCCAGTAGTGAACCACCCAAACAAAGAGAACCCTAATGCAAATACTTGGCTAAAAAATATGTTATATAACTGTTGTTGCTATGTTAACTCTGAAAATAATAGACCCATATAAAAACAGGACAGTATAAAAAGACATTTTGACACAAACATGAAGCAAAGCAGTCGTGAAAGAAAGCAGCCTGAAAATCTGTCAGGAGCATTCACAGTAACTCAGAGAAGCAGAAGCATCCAGCCACAGTGTCACAGGTGGGATTAAGCAGCATCTAACATCTTGGCAGATGCTTGTTTTACGCTTTTGTAATGTGGAAAATATCACAGTTGTGAGTCAACCACTTGTGAATCCTGAGACCGGGATAATACAACACTGCTTCCTAATTGTAATTATGAGAGAGTAAGAATTCTGCAGTAGAAAAACGGGGGCACTATGTACAGAGCGTGCTGAGGACTTCAAATAAAAATAGACTCGACAAGGACAGGAGCTCTCCACCACTACATTCCCCTGAACAAAAACAAAACTTCTTTCTTCAGTGTGCCTCACTGCGACCCACTCTGAGCATTTTCTGCCAACACACACAGGCCAGCCTACAGATGTCAGGGACTAGGTATGCACAGAAATGCTCCAGTTCTGTAATGTTTACCTCTTAAAGCTTTACTTTAAACTTACCCGGTTTGAGCCCTGCGTCAGCCTTTGGAGGACAATCACTGTTCATCTCACGGATGTCCTTCCGCAGCACCATGTAACTGGAAAACACAGCAACTCTGATTAAAATGTGTACCAAAATGACGTATTGTGGGCAGCACTACACCAAGGTTCAGGAAGTGACTGTGATTAAAGCCAAGCCAGTAACAATCCAAGCAGATTTTTGTTTTCCTGCAACAAAAGTAGGACCATAAAAACTAAGTAGCCACCCTAAAGTCGTGTTAATTACAACACTGGCATGAAGGAAACTGCATCCACACATTTGAGGTTTCTAACCTTATAGCCAGCGCCAACAACAATGAACCTGGGCAGACATGACTGGTCAGGACTGCATCCACAGCCTGCTTTCTTACAGCATCTCTATAGCAGCTGGGCACAGCATCGGTGATTTGGGAGATAAATGGATCAGTGGAGCTTGTAAGCTTGAAAGCAGTCAGATGTTTGGCTGCTGAGCCAGAGAGACGATTTGCAGTGGTATCTGTAGGCAGCTGAGTCCATCCAATGACCAGATTTGTCATGGAGTGTTTACAAAAGCAAAATTTATAAAAACAGTGTAATGCAGCTAAAAGAGCTCAGAGAAAACAGACGAAAAAGTACTGGGTATGTTACTTGCAGTGGTTCATGTGGTGTCTACCATTTTCACCATCTTAGTTTTATTTGCCATTTAGCACTAAATAAAACATTCAGCGGGCGGCACGGTGGCGCAGTGGTTAACACCGTTGCCTCACAGCGAGAAGGTTCTGGGTTCGGGCCCCACCCGGGACCTTTCTGTGTGGCAGGTACTCTATCTCCCCGTGCTTGGGTGGGTTCTCTCCAGGTACTCTGGCTTCCTCCCACAGTCCAAAGACATGCAGCTTCGGTTGATTGGTGTCTCTAAATTGCCCGTGTGTGTGTGTGGTTGTTCGTCTCTGTGTTAGCCCTGCGATGGATTGGCGACCTGTCCAGGGTGTGCCTCACCTTCGCCTGATTGCTGGCTGGGATTGGCTCCAGTGACCCCGTTCAGGGACTAAGCGGTAGAAAATGAATGAATAAAACATTCAGCTTAAGCTAATGGGAGCGTCACTGCTTTTGCAGATATTTGGTCATAAACATAATCAAGTACTGGATAAATTCAAACCTGCGGTTGGCAATACATTGCAGATCACCCGATCACCAAATTTACTAAGATTCATCCTCTGGGGACCATTAATGTCTGCAAGGCAGTTTGTGTTGTTGAGATATGTCTGTCTGGATCAAACTGGTGGACCAAGTGACTGACCAACACATCGCCAGCCCTAAAGCCATGCCACTAGCATAGCTTAGGGGAAAAAACAGTCCACATTTTGAAATGTTGCTGCCACACACTCATCCCAAACAAACTTAGTCCGTTTATTTTTTTAAATTCTAAATCAAGTGGTAGCTTAAGAAATCTGAATCTGCTCCACAAAGTGCTAAACTAAATAAGTTTTATGGTTTACAATATTTGCAACTTACACTTCTAGCTCAGCTTCTTCTTGGCATAATATACAGTGTATATAGCCTTTATTGATTAAGTAAGGCACAGTGAAATCCCAGTTTTATTAACAGTATATGTTTAAAAGTAACAAAAACATAAAAAACCATGAAAAATACCCATCACACTTTCTAAAGCTCTAGGTGATGTCTTCAATTGGCTAATTTTGTCTCTGAAACTCAAAAATATGCCATCTACAGTAACATAAAGAGAACAGCAGCTGGCACAAGCACATTTTGACATTTTTGCTCAAAAACTGAGTCAAACAATGACTTGATTATCATTGTTGTCATTAATTTTCAGTTGACTGACTGATAGCTGATTAATTGTTTCAGCTCTCAATATGACAAGGACATCTTTTTTTTTTTTTTTTTAAATCAATTCTGCAGCCCGGTTTTGTTTAGCTGGTGTGAGTCCGAGTTAAAAACCTATTCACAATGATTAAGCCATCTTTTTCTGTCTACAGCATGTCAACACCACAGACAAGTTTTCTCATCAGCCAAACAAGGAAAAAAATAGCCACGGCTGCTGTTTCCACTGTTACTGTGGTAACCAGATCTGATTAAGTAAGATCAAGCACCGCATGACAACTCCCATCTCCCCTCTGGATGTGACCTCGCTTTCCCTAAAAACATGTTGTCCAAAGCCATTGTTTTGAAAGGCGCACTGAACGGTTATCACAAACAATATCAAAATCTCCAGAGGAAAGTGAACACATTGACCCTGCCGCTGTGCGCGAGAGGTCACGTGGCTTCTGGATGTGACCCCACTTCAAAAAACAAATGACACAGGGAACAGCAAGTTAGAATAACTCTAATAATAATAGGCGAGAAAAGGCTGGCATAAATGATAAAAGTATAATAACAAACAATGACAAGTGGAGCCTGTGTGTGTTGTCAGTGAAAAGAAAAGCACCTGAACATTGTGTATGCACAAAAAGGGTAGCACAGTAAGCAACTGTGAAACTGTCATTGATGAAAGTGAAAATTCATAGTGCAAAATGTCAGCAATGATTATATGTGATAAACTGTTAAAGAGCTTCTGTCTCTGAAAATACATAAAATCTTCTTCTGTAACTGGCAAAACTGCAACATAATATAAATAAACATCTGACAGATGCATCACATCACACACGAGTAACAGGGACAATATACATTTTTCATCTTTGTTACACCATCCATATAAAAGTAAAAGGATTGGATGAATACAAAGCTAAAAATCTCATTTGGATTTTCCAGTTCCTCACATTATTATTTCTTGCCTCCACTCCTGGACACACTATGCTGATTTCAATGACTGCAATCAAATTGCCACAAAACAGAAAAAAACTGCTACAGTGCGATTTGACTTGCAACAAAAGCCCTACAGGAAATACTTCACAAGTCTACGACTTCCAGTTCTTCTCAGATTTATCATCCCCTATCTTATCGCTCTCATCAGCTCTACCTTTCACCCGACTATTAGCCAAAATACACGCTATAAGACTTCCTTTGCTGCAAATAGGTTTTCAGCTGAGTTAAGCAGGAACACAGACTCAAGCCTGACACAAGCTCTGACATCACTAAAAATCAAACTGACAGGAAAGTAGTTTTTTGGAGCACTGAGCAAACAGCAGATAAATTTATATTGAGTGGGGGCTATGTTTCTCCCCACATACAGAGAGACTTCACTAACAAACCACCGGCTAAGTGCAGAATCTTGACAGAGCTTATTCCTCTCTTTGCTACACACAAAAATCTGACAGTATGATACCATGCCGAGGGCAGGCTGCAGGGAATCTCCACCACTTTACCTCACCAGTAACTTACAGCCTCAGGACAAATAAAATAGCATAACAGCACTGCCAGGAAAGGCTCTTATTGAGAGACTGCAAAATCTGACAGCGCTCCCTCAAATAATGAGATAATATGGAGATTTGTCATGAGTGGGAAGTTCAAAGCACATTTCAAAATATATATAAAAAAGAAAGAAAAAGCAAAAAAATGGGCCAAAAAATTCTGAAATATTTGCACAAATTACACTTACACTGTGCAAGCACATCTTACAGTAGAGCGCACTCAAGCAATTCCTTTGTCAATATACAAACATATGCTTCTTTTGGCAAAATGTTCACTGCACACATCTCCTTACAAAATACTTTTTTCCAAGATTCAGGACAGGACTGCTGTACACTAGTACTAAATGCTTAGTTGATTAACTGACTAACAGAATACTGATTAAGATCCACTTTGATCATTTATCTTGTCAAAGTGACAATCATTTGTTTAACAGAGCTTCTCAAAAGATTGCTTGGTTTTCCCTTAATGTGAACTGAATATCCCTTTAGCTTGTTGGCTAAAAATCACAAATCAGTAAGTCTAAGGCTTAACTTTGTGCTATGCTAACGTATGTTACATAATTAGTTACAAACATCATTTACATTTTATATTAATTAATAATGTCAAATAATCTACTGACAGATATTAGCCAGCCACGCTTCTGGTTTTCAGCACATTAATAATGACTCACAATTTTCCATCCTTGAAAGATCGGACAAAGATGTTGTCTTTCTTCATAGTCACATCTTCATGGCAGTCTGGGGAGATGACCTTGTTGCACAGAAACAAGAGACAGTCAGGAGGTCAGACATGGCAGTACTCTGTCTGCATGTGTGTAAGACAAAGTGGAAGAGTTTAGGGGGGTGTCAGAGTGTGAGTCCATGACTAAAGCCTCTTCAGCAAAAGGCCACACTGATGGATTACAAAATATGCTGTCTACGAAACAAAGCCAAACAAGCAGAAGAGATGCAGAGTGACGTGTAAGGGGTGTGAGTGCACTTGCAGCATGTGCTGCTGATGTTTACTGCAGCTGAGCAGCACAACACAGAAACGTCCTGGTGCCAGGGTCTCATGCAGAAGAGGTAGAAGTATCATTGTGGACATCTAAGTTCCACCAGGACCCTGTCTGCTCACTCCTGCTCTCTTTGTTTATATGGCACACACACTTGCAGGGTGGATGCATTTATTTGAACACTATGACTCAAGTTTGCTGTCTGATATAATTTCCCTCTCTGACACATATTCCACACTGCAAACAAAAATACCCTCTCACACATGCAGACCTGTTTCTTGTGACTTTTGACTTAATTAGGTCACTTAAGAGCACACTGTTCATCACAACCATGTATGATCTGTTACATGGGACATCTACCAGTGTTCTGCTCCACCCCTTTGCTGTACGGTCACAATGTAAACAATGACAGGCTACTGTGTAGTGCATGTCTCTGGGCTGTCACAAGGAGGCAGCATGGAGCTCAGTCAACAGCAAGCCAAGAACAACAAACCTCAGAGGCGGGGCTGCGCTGACTACACACTTAAAGGGACAGCTTTCCCCACCCTCTCCCAGTTCCACTTGTAACACTTACATAAACAAACAAGGCCTGTCACCATTTCACTGTGTGCTAGCAGTGGCTCAGAGCTGAGGGTGGGTGGAGGGAAATGGATTGGGAAAGACCGGAAACATCAGACCAGTGTTTGTGCTGCATTGTTGCATACACCAAGGAAAACAACTCACAGGTTTCTCCTCCAAAATTAGAACTGAGCTGTTCAGCTTTCTGAAATTCTTCAAACCATAGAAGTCAGGCAGCTAGTGCAAAAGGTTGGTCTTATTTATAGGAATCAGCTTTTTTAACTTCAACAACACAAATCTTTCCAGTAACAGGTAACAGGCAGTAACAAACTCCCGCTGAGTGGCGAGATTACATAAGCAGGCATTCAGTTGACAAAGCACAATGCTCTGCAGTGTTCTGGGGGAGCAGCAGCAGTGGTCCCCATTTCTTCACAGCTAAGGAGCAGACAAGAGTAAAGGAAGGGAGACTATGAGCTCACCAGGGCAGGATACCACGTGGTCTTCTTTTTGTCCCCAGTGGCGACCCCCTCCACACAGACCACTTTACCGAACAAATCCTCATTCTGCCGCTGATCGCTCTCCTCTTCTTCACTGGAGGAGGAGGACAACTCTTCTTCTTGACTGGGGGAGAAAAGAAAAGTTTACTCACTGGAATGCAAGTTAGAAAGGTACAGCGAGCATGTATTTGTTCATAAATACAGTACTTTAGAACCAATGAGCCACAGAGATTTTGACATTAAATATTAAATTGTATATAATCAGGTTAGGGAAATAAAACTGCATTCATTATTATGCAGCACAGAGAAACATACAGCCATCTCTACTGATGAGGCCACTTATTAGGATCAGTGTATTGAGGAGCCGCCTCCATCTCTGCTGAGACAGTCATCCTGCGTCCAGCAGACCGGCAGCCATATCTCAGAGTGATCATGCAAGCGGCACCAGCAGGCACACTGACCCTCCCTCCTCTGCTTATGCCTCACGAGGCCTGCTCTGAGCAGAGTTCTATGTGCATACACGCAGTCTGGCATGACGCAAGAGCAGTAAATCAGCCAGGCTGTTACTACTATTGCTGCTATTATTACTACAACTACAACAACAACTAAGCTGTGAACCAAAGTCATAAACAAAGCATTCTACTCAATAAAGAAGAGACTACAGTTCATCTAGGAAAACATTTGGTCCAAGAAAGGAATGTTTAACACTTACTGTAATTTAAAGCATTAGTCTGACATTTTGTGAAATACATTTATTTGCTTTCTTGGCACAAGTTAGATGAAAAGATAGCACTTAGGTGTTTGTATGCTAAATATAAAGCAACTGCCAGCAGTCAGTTAGCACAGCTTAGCATAAAGACTGGAAACGGGGGAAGCTAGCCTGATTGTGTCCACCGATTTTTAAAAAGATTATCTCCCAACTGTAAAGCTCACTAATTAAGATGTTATATGTCATTTGTTTAACATGTACAAAAACTGAAATGCAGAAAAAAAGAAGCTGGCAGTCCAGTAGAATGAGCAGGTTATTACTAATGTGACACAAAGCACTAACCTTACACAAAGCTCAAACGATTCCCTAATTAAAATTATTAATGGATTAATAATCATATTAATTTAATACGTAGGATAAAAACAATCGTGACCATACTAGGTGGCTGATGTTGCCAAATCAAACACATTAGCTTTAGATGCTAACACATCCACAAGGAAGAGCACAACATCTGAATCTAAGTTGAGTCCTTTGGCTGCTTTTAATGCTCTTCATCTCAAAAAGCCAAACCAATGAGTTGCTCTTTCCATGCACATCCAGACACCACATCCTGCCCCATGTTCACCAGATTTATCACACAATGTGTAAAACCTTAGTTAACACTAACGCACTTTTAAGTTTTACATGGGTTTCCACCAGATAATTTCCTGGCCAAGAGCGGTGACTTCAGGCAAAGAGTTTACCCTATTTCAAGCCTTTAGGTACAGATGTAATAGTCATATTTCTATCATCTTATGTACCAGTCAGCAAGAAAGGAAACTAGCACATTCTCAAAATGTCAAACTATTCCTGTAACAGAAGAAAAAAGAAGTATCTAAAACATGCAGTGCAGCTGTTTTAAACTTAGGCTATACTGTATTGTTAATCCTTGTAATTCAAGAGTTAAGACACTATTAGTGCACAGGAAGACAACAGATCCAGGGTGCTAATGTGCAGCTGGGACCATTCCAAGTCAATACTGCGGCAATGTTTAAAGTAATATTGACTTTTCTCAGAATGCCATTAGCCAGGGACGTCAGTGCATGAGATTATGGATGAGAGTGTCCTCTTTTTAACAGAGAGGAGCCACAGTTATATCCAGCACCAAACAATCTATTCTCTCACTCTCCAGGGAATAGGCATATCACACCCAGTAAAAAACAAAACAAAAAAAAACAAACTTCTGGGGGGACTGTACTTTTCTTGAACAGTCTCTCCAGCATGCATCCACAAGCTGGGCATGATTAAGGAGCTCGAGGAGGCAGGCAGACTCCTGTTGATTCCCCAGTTTGATATGAGCCCTGCTAGACGCACAGAGGCAGAGGACGGTACTCACATTGGGTTCGATCGTCGGCCGCGGTTGCCCTTCTTGCCGATGACAGGTGTGCCGAAGTGCTCAGGGTTGGTGAGGGGGAGTCTGTCGAGTGTCTGCAGAGGAGACAAACAACAGCAAAAAGCCCGAGAGCCACCTTGTAAGACACTAAACTGGAAGACAAGAGATCTATCTTGTATACCTTGAGGAAATTCTCTTCATGGGAATTCATCATTTACAAATAGAGAGATTTATCAACTTTAGGTAGTTTATATTAACAACTCTGTTGTGAGATCAGTTTACAGTTCCTGGAAATATTTCTGATGCCAGTATGGGACCTTGGGCAGTGTTTTAATTTGAGCATTGCAAGTAGAGGTCTGAGAATGATGGTGACTAAATACTCATTTAAAAAGCTCAGATGGATAAACTAATAAAATGAGCGTCGTTTCTGTGGAAAAATGAGAGGTGTGGCTGATGCAAAACTGCAAGACACCACAATACTTGCCTCGCTCTCTGCAAAGTGACGTGCTCCCTTCAGGCAAAGAGAGGAACGCCTCAGGGTCTTCTCATCACCATCGTCAAACACTGCAGACATAACAGACAAACTATTAGGTTGCTGTATGTAGGCTAGGAGTCTAGCAACACACACACTGTATGTTTAAGCCCACACTCCCGTCTCGGTTACAAAATGTCTGCTTGCTTTATGATATGCTGAAAACAAATTATGCTGGTCTTTTAAGGTTTGGATAGATGAGCAGGCAGTGACAGCGTCGCTTTCAGCTCAAAAGATTTATTTCTTCTACAGCCATTTACTCCACTCTCTGTCTAGCAGATAAAATAAAAGAGACAGGGAAGTATCGGAGGACTTTATATATATGAATTAACTGAAAACTAAACGAAGTCTCCAAAGAGTAGCTTTTAGAAGTCAAAGTCAATTTATTGTCAATAATAAGCCCCCATATCAAATAACACTAAGTACATTACTACTACTAATGATGATAACATTTTAAAGAACTTGAGGAACCTTCTGTTCACGTTTACCCACATCATACCCAAAGATAAGCGCATCTATGTAAATTCTTAAATTCCATTATTCATCACTCAACTTTGTAACAACGATGAAACAAAACAGAAAACAACTGAGTTAACAGTGACTGAAGTTTTTTTTTTCCCCACTGATGAATGAAACAAACGAGCATTTCAAGACAGACAGAACCCCACGGCCGCTCTTAAGCGACAAGCAGCTGCCGAGGAGTACTTTCTACTCTATATCCTTTGGGTTATCTAACGCTGTAACTGTGAGCTCTTGACAGACTTACCCTTATAGCACCAGCTTCCACAATATGAGAATTTGCTGCTTTTCTTGGTTTTATGGAATTATAAACTAAATCTCTCCGAAGTTTGGACTGTTGCTCACAAAACCAGCAATTTGACGATGTCACCCTGGAAACTGTTTCAGGTAATTCAATCATAAAATTTTTGTTAGTTGCAGCACTTAGCCACACTGCTTACTAGTTACATTATGTTATATAATTTTTAATGTTGATTCAGCATAGTTCTGTGGGATGTAAAAAAGGAAGCATATGTTGCCATGGAGCCACTTACTGAAGTTAGCTGACGGCTCCAACTTGAATCCCATTTTTTTTAGCCTATATTTGTTTATATTTTGGTTACTGGCTCCATTAAAAGTATGTCAAATTCAGTTTCTGTTAGCAATGTCCCCATGGACATACAGTGGTGTGAAAAAGTGTTTGCCCCCTTACTGATTTCTTATCTTTTTGCATGTTTGTCACACTGTAATGTTTCAGATCGTCAAACAAATTTATATATTAGTCAAAGATAACACAAGTAAACACATCATGCAGTTTTTAAATGAAGGTTTTTATTATTAAGGGAAAACAAAATCCAAAACTATAGAGCCCTGTGTGAACAAGTGTTTGCCCCCTAAACCTAAGAACTGGTTGGGCCACCCTTAGCAGCAACAACTGCAATCAAGCGTTTTCGATAACTTGCCATGAGTCTTTTACAGCGCTGTGGAGGAATTTTGGCCCACTCATCTTGGCAGAATTGTTGTAAGTCAGCCACATTGGAAGGTTTTCGGGCATGAACTGCCTTTTTAAGGTCATGCCACAGCATCTCAATTGGATTCAGGTCAGGACTTTGACTAGGCCACTCCAAAGTCTTCATTTTGTTTTTCTTCAGCCATTCAGAAGTGGACTTGCTGGTGTGCTTTGGATCATTGTCCTGCTGCAGAACCCAAGTTCGCTTCAGCTTGAGGTCACAAACGGATGGCCGGACATTCTCCTTCAGGATATTTTGGTACACAGCAGAATTCAGGGTTCCATTTATCACAGCAAGTCTTCCAGGGCCTGAAGCAGCAAAACAGCCCCAGACCATCACACTACCACCACCAATATTTTACTGTTTGTATGATGTTCTTTTTCTGAAATGCGGTGTTACTTTTACGCCACACATAATGGGACACACACCTTCCAAAAAGTTCAACTTTTGTCTCGTCTGTCCACAGAGTATTATCCCAAAAGTCTTGGGGATCATCAAGATGTTTTCTGGCAAAACTGAGACGAGCCTTTATGTTCTTTTTGCTCAGCAGTGGTTTTCGTCTTGGAACTCTGCCATGCAAACCATTTTTGCCCAGTCTCTTTCTTATGGTGGAGTCATGAACACTCACCTTAACTGAGGCAAGTGAGGCCTGCAGTTCTTTGGATGTTGTTGTGGGGTCTTTTGTGACCTCTTGGATGAGTTGTCGCTGCGCTCTTGGGGTAATTTTGGTCGGCCGGCCACTCCTGGGAAGGTTCTCCACTGTTCCATGTTTTCGCCATTTGTGGATAATGGCTCTCACTGTGGTTCGCTGCAGTCCCAAAGCTTTAGAAATGGCTTTATAACCTTTTCCAAACTGATAGAGCTCAATTATTCTCTTTCTCATTTGGTTTTGAATTTCTTTGGATCTCGGCATGATGTCTAGCTTTTGAGGATCTTTTGGTCTACTTCACTTTGTCAGGCAGGTCCTATTTAAGTGATTTCTTGATTGCGAACAGGTGTGGCAGTAATCAGGCCTGGGTGTGGCTAGAGAAATTGAACTCAGGTGCGATAAACCAGTGTTTTGACAGGGGGGCAAACACTTGTTCACACAGGGCTATATAGTTTTGGATTTTGTTTTCCCTTAATAATAAAAACCTTCATTTAAAAACTGCATGATGTGTTTACTTGTGTTATCTTTGACTAATATATAAATTTGTTTGACGATCTGAAACATTACAGTGTGACAAACATGCAAAAAGATAAGAAATCAGTAAGGGGGCAAACACTTTTTCACACCACTGTACAGCCAACAATCACTGGAATATTCTGATACCGATGAACACTTAAAAATGTGATTATTCTCAGCACTAGCACAAGAATGTTTTTTTCAAGTTACTATTTCATTCATTCATTCATTCATTTTCTACCACATAGTCCCTGAACGGGGTGGGGGGGAGCGGAGCCAATCCCGGCCGGCAATCGGGCGAAGGCGGGGTACACCCTGGACAGGTCGCAAATCCATCGCAGGGCTACACAGGAGCTGCACAGCAGGTTGCTGGAGAAGCCCAGCTCCCTGCACGCCTCTGACAACAGCTCACCACCATATGCCGCCAGCGATTGTAAAAGTGAAAGGAGCCATAGGAGGTACACCTCTCCCGACATTTTGGATCCTACTCTGTGTGAACCTGTGAGGCCATGCACGCACACATATGCCAAGCAGCCCCCATATACTGAAAATACAGTACGTTCCTGCTCACATGATTCTCAGGTAAGTTCTGTATCGGTATAAAATCATCTCATAACTAGCCACAAATGTGCATTTGGCAATTTACAAATACAGTCAAGGTTGCAAATGTGTAAAAACCAATTTGTGTGACTACAAATGTGTGTTCAGTAATCTACAAATAAAATCTAGATTTACAAATGTGTAAAAATGATTTTCTGTGTGCAGTTCTCTAACATGTATTTATAGATTGTTATAGATGCACATGCACAGAATGCCAGACACACAAATGACCTTATGTTTGTGCATGAAGTTTTGAGAGAATTTTCTCACTCTGAGATCCAGAAATGTATGGTGCATTTAATAACAGGTGGAAAACTTGGATGTTTGGCTTTTCATACTTTTTTTCCAGATATAAAATTGCTCTCAATTGGACTTTAACTAAATACATATTTTAATGTCCAATAGTCCAATGTTATGTGCCTTTACTGAGGTTTTAATAAGATCATGCTTGTTTTGTATTATCAATATCATTTTACAATCAATATTTAAGGTGATGCCAAGTTATAAATCTTCTGTTCACCTTAAAGTAACAGCGTTGCTGGTTTAGTAGCTCACTAGCTACCAATATTAGCTTTAACTTTATTTAGTAGGTTACTAAACTAGCAGTGCTGTTACCACATCTTCATTTGGCCTTTCAGGCTTTTTCCCCAAAGAGATAAAACTGCTCGTCATCCATTGATTGGAATAAATATGTATTTTAACAAGCAATAAAAGACCATTTTGAGTAAAACCTATCCAGATATTAAAACAGTGATACCCTAATATTTATGCAGAACCTTTGTTTTATCAGAATCAGGTGTGTTGGACACACGAGGAATTTGACTCCAATACAGTGGCTCTCAATGTTTATGTACAATGTTCTTACGTAAGGCAAAGAGTAAACAAGACTGAGAGAAAATAAAAATAATGTGCAAACAAGAAATGGGAATGTGTATTAACAAAATAAAAAATAAGAATAAAAGTACTTATAAATATGAATGTTCATATACACACAGTTTAGATGGAAGTTTCCAGAGAGATACAGTACATACAAAGGTACATTTACAAGGTATGGCATTGAGGGCTGGCACTGTGTTATGCAGTCCAGTAACACACACACACATTTAAGCCCACACTCCTGTCTTGGCTACAAAATGTCTGCTTGCTTTATGATATGCTGAAAACAAATTATGCTTGTCTTTTAAGGTTTGGATAGATGAGCAGGCAGTGACAGAGTCGCTTTCAGCTCAAAAGATTTATTTCTTCTACAGCCATTTACTCCACTCTCTGTCTAGCAGATAAAATAAAAGAGACAGGGAAGTATCGGAGGACTTTATATATATGAATTAACTGAAAACTAAACGAAGTCTCCAAAGAGTAGCTTTTAGAAGTCAAAGTCAATTTATTGTCAATAATAAGCCTACTGACGCTGTCGTTCTGTTATACAGTCATGAGTTAAGTGTTCAGAGTGATGGCACAGGGGAAGAAACCATCCTTGTGTGTGGTTGCTTTGGTGTACAGGGACCTGTAGTGCCACCCAAAGGATGTGAGGGGTCTGCAGAAAACTTCTCTGACCTCATTTTGAGCTGTGAGGTGTACAGGTCCTCCATGGAGGGCAGGCTGGCACCAGTGTTTCTTTCTGCAGTCCTGACTATCCACTGGCATCTGTTCCTGTCCTGTTTGGTTGCTGAGCCAAACCAGACAGTGATAATTCCTCGATGATTCCTCTGTAGAACTGTATCAGCAGCTCCTGAGGCATGTTGAACTTCCTGAACTGGCGCAGGAAGTACATCCTCTACAATGCCTTCTTGATGATGGTGTTGATGTTGGACGTCCACTTCAGGTCCTGGGAGATAGTGGAGCCCAGGAACCTCCTTAAGTCTACTGTCATGTCCACCGTTTTGAGTGTCTTCAGCTCCAGGTTGCTGCGACTGCACCACAGGGCAAGCTGTTCAAGCTCCTGTCTGTATGCAGACCCATCACCATCTTGGATGAGGCCGACAACAACCGTTGTGTCATCTGTGAACTTCAGGAATTTAACAGAGGGGTCCCCTGCTATTGAAATAGCATTACATGGTAATTTAATGTAGCAGTGTTGTAGCAGGTTTTAATTTTGTTTTAAGCAGAACTTGCCTGTAGAGTATAATGAATATTTGTGGGTTGGCATCTTAAATATTGATTGTAAAATTATAATCAGAAGTGCCTACAATACAGTTATGTTCTCGTTAAAACCAAGATAATGCCACATGACACTGGAATATTTCACATTAAAATACATATCCAATCGAGGTGACGAGTGTTTTTATTTCTGGAAAAAAGCCTGAAAAGCCAAACGTTCATGTTTTCCACTCATCATTAAACACACCATACATTTGTGGATCTTAGAGCAAGAAAATCCTCTCAAACCTCGCACACATGTGCATCTAATGACCTGTAAATACATTAAAGAACTGCACAGAGAAAATCATTTGTACACATTTGTAAATCTGGATTTTATTTACAGATTACTGAACACATATGTTGTCATAATGAGACACGCAAAAATTGTTTTTACTCATTTGTAAACATGACTGCATTTGTAAATTGCCAAATACACATTTGTGGCTATTTATAAGAGGATTTTACACCCATAGTTCTGGAACTGGAAGAAGCTTTATTCTCTGATTTCTAAGATGATTTATGAACGTGCACTCAGAAAAGACATTAGATTGTGATATCCAATGGAAGAATAAGTCATAATGAACCTATCATGTCTGTGTGTTCAGACACTAAGGAAAAGGAAAATACTCATTTTCATGTACACAAACACAAACTAGCTCTAGGAAGATTACAGGTCTCAGAGAGGAAGAGCAAGCAGTTTGCTACTGACTTACCAACAGTATATATGCTAGCATCAGTCAGCTTGTTGATTGTGGCCTCCTGGTAAACTCCATCTTGATTCTTTACCTCTACAACAGTGCCCACCTGTTGGACAGACACGCTGCTATTATTTGGCATGTTAGCATGCTAATCATTATTATTATTGTTTTCAGATGATAAATCTAATTATGTTCTCAACCATAATGCTGTTAAAAGAACCCTAATTGGCTGATAATCTTGTGGGTTTTTTGTAAGGGGACGGAGTGACTGCATACAGCTTATATAAAAAACATGACATAATTTAAAGTTTAAACAAAGGACATCAGTATTAACAATATACAGGAGTAATTAATGTAATATGTGCACTGATGGCAACCTTCCTTCTGACTGTTGGACAACATCAGTCTCCTCAATTTTGTGCGCCTTACCTTTAGAGGTCCTTTGATGTTTTCATCATGAACCTCAGCTGTGGACAGATCTGATTTAAAGGTCACCTGGGAGAGTGGGAGGCAATGGGGGAGGAGAATCAGTGACAAGAATAAACAAATAATTCCCCAGACATATGATGGAGCTGCATCAGCACTGCACTTCACAGGGGCAACACTTACTACTAGCACCGCAGAACTCTTTAAAGTGCTGATTACAATGAAACCCTTTCATGGAATACCTGGCAGAGAGACAGGTTTGTTATGGGTTGTAAGTTTGAGACAACAGAGTTGTTAGAGTCATTATGAAGCAGAACGTATGCAAATAATAAATACTGTGACTTGTTAGAGTCATTATGAAGCAGAATGTATGCAAATAATAAATACTGTGACTCCTTTCTGGCCTCACCAAGTGAGTGTCAATCATTTTGCAACTGTGCTGTGTCAGCTGGTGCAAGCTGTGGTAGACTGCTGTGAATGTTTGGGGCCACACTATCTTACCATCCCCCCCGTGCATTTGTAGCATCCCCTGAGTGAGCCATGATAGATCATAATTTGATCAACTGAGCTAATCTCACACACATGCAGCCATTTACTGTCCTATTTTTTTTCCAGGGGGTATGTGTGAGAAGTGATAAAACAGCCAAGAGCACTGAAACTGTTTAGTATTACACATGCCCCTCCCCTACTTTAAAATCCTCATGTGCTTCTTCTCGTGTTTCCTCGGGGAAATTAAAGTAATTTTTGAGAGCATGTGCTAGTAAAAGAGAAACATAATTATAATGGGAAACTGACTGTGATTTATTGACTGTGATTTAGTTTAGAATCAACTGTCAAACAAGGGCAGAGAAAGACTTTAAGTAGCCAATCTCAGAATACAAGCCTGCAGGTAATGAATTCAGATAACCCTCTCTCAAGTCAGTTTCAAAAACAGCAAGCAAAGTGTCACTGTAAAGGCAGGATCACGACAGTGAATGAATGAAATTCATACTGTAAGATGCTGCTGAACTGT